GACATTCCATGCTTTGGGTTGAAGAAAAAAAATATTAAAATGCCCATACTACCCAAAGCAATCTACACATTTAAGCAATCCCTATAAAAATATCAACAGTATTTTTCACAGAATTAGAACAATCCTAAAATTTGTATGGAACTATAAAAGACCTCAAATAGCCAAAGCAATCTTGAAAAAGAAAAAACTGGAGGCATCACAAGTCCAGATTTCAAGCTATGCTATAAAGTGGTAGTAATTAAAACAGTATGGTACTGGCATAAAAACCAGTCTCTGGTTTTGTTTTAAATAGACATTTCACTCAGATATTTTCTTTCCTGTTATGCTCTTGCTTTTAGTATTCCAAATACATGTATATTAGACCACTTGATATTTTCCTACAAGTCACTAATGCTGTTTATTCTTTGTTCACTTTTTCCCTTTCTATGTGGTTCATTTTGCTTATCTATAATTTTACCTTTAAACACACTGACATTTTCTTCTGCAATATCTCATCTGATTTTCATACTAGTTTTTTTGTTAGATATTATATTCTACCATAAGTTCTACATAGATCTATTTTTATAACTGTTTTTACATCTATTTCTTTTAATCAAGTTCTTGTTTTTTTTTTTTTTTTTTTTTATCTTTCCAGGAACAAATGCAGGATATTTACAAAAAAAAATTTTAAAAGCTCTCTAAACGTACTTGTTTCGTTTTATCATTTTAGTCATTTTTTGTGTTTTTTCCTTATATTTCTGCTCCTTCGTGTGCCCAGTAAATTGCTTATTGGGTGCCAGACAAGATAAACCTTACATTGTTGAATGTTGCATTTGCTTGTATTCCTTCAGTGTCAGATTTTTCTTGGCTTTCAGGTAAAGGTACCTGTTAGCAGTCCTTCCCTTGAATGTTTGCTTTTAATTCTTTTCAGGGTGTCCAGAGCAAATCTTAATCTGTGTTAAGTTTCACTATCTAGGCGATATATTTCTGAGTTTTCTAAGTGTTGTTCTGTATACTGTATAATAGGTATTTCTACATTGGTAGATAAGAACATAAATAATTGCCAGCCTTACACAAGCTGCAGGAATTATTTGGTATACTGTCTTCTAGTGGTACTTTTCTAAACCTCGGATAGTTTACCCTCACATTTGTATAGAACTGGACATAGTCAACAATTCAGTAGATCTTTCCTCAATTCTTTGCCTTTCCTCTTTCCCTGTGCACCCACCCCCATCCCTAGCTCCTACCCTTTCACACCTAAAGTCTAGTCACATTAGTCTTAATACCCTGACGTAATAGATCTACACTTACTTCAGTGTTTTCTCTGTGAAATAGGGTGAGGGAGAGGGAGTGATTTTGCAGCAGGCTCAGGAGACAGAGAGAAGCTAAAACCCTGAGGTGCCAGGGATAGGGCATAGAGGCTTGCAGCAGTGGTCTGAGTTTGAGACTAAGTGGTAGGAGGTGGTTTATAGGGGCTATGGCAGAGTAGGCAGCAGTGCAGAAGCAGGTGAGAGAAATAGCCTTGAGGACACAGCGGGCAGGCAAGAGGAAAGCATTAGGGTCAGAAGCCAGCATAGAGGCTGGGCCATGGAGGGAGCAGGTTGCCAAGGGTGAAGAACAAGGCCTGGGGAGCCACCAGGGCTGGGTGTCTTGATAGCATAAGAGGTCCAGGGAGTCAATGCTGCCACCAAGGAGCCATTAGGTGAGAAGGGAATTCCTAGGCTGGGGCAATAGGCACATGGAGATCTCCAAAGCTGAGCTGCTAGGGATTGCAGAGGTGGGAGGCAGCAGAACCTGGTGCTTGGAGATTAGAGCCCAGAGAGGTACAGCCAGTTAGACCAGAGCTCTCTGGACTCTGCCCGAGTACACACCTAACACCCTACCTCTAAGCCAGCAGTTTAGGATTTAGGGCTGTGGCTTCCTTCCCATCTAAACCAAAGCCTCTCTGCAGGCAAGTCCTACCCTGGCAGGCCCCAACTCCTTTATACCTTTGATGCAGTGCACCAGCCGGTGATTTCCCCCAATCCCTGGGGCCCCAGCTGCACTTAAAGTTGGCAAGTTGTTTCTTTCTGGAGGCTCTGGGAAATCAGATTCCTGCTTGTATGCATTGTTGGCAGAATTCAGTTCCATGTGGTTGTAGGATTGAGGTCTCTAAGCTTCCGAGGGGCCTTCTGGTTGTATTGAGACCATCTACAAAGTCACACAATTTCTTCAAAGGGCTGTGTCACTCAATGCTCTGACCTGACCTTGCTGAGCCAGGACTGAAGATGCTGGCTATCATAGGTGTGGTGCTCAACTTAGTACCTAGCTTTATCTTAGAACCAGCAATGGAGCAACAAAGGGCCTGATACAGCCATGTCTAACTCTTCTGCCTCTTTCTCCCTATAGCTGGGAAAGGTTCTGTTTTTAATGACTCATGTGATTAGATTGAGCCCAGCTGGGTAAGTCTCATCACAAAGTGTATTATACATGCAAAGCTCCATTGGTCATCTATAGGACCATTCACAGGTTCTGAGGATAAGGGCATGGACAGCTTTGGCAGCAACAATTCCATCTACTACAGTTTGCTGTCTGGTCCTCAGATTCGTATCTGTCCTGCTTACAAAATATATTCCACCAATCCCAAGATCACAAAATGTCTCCTTCCATTTCTATATCAACTCAACACTCAAATCTCATCGAAATATTGTCTACATCAGATATGTCTGAGGCTCTGGATATAATCCATCCTGGCATACAATCCTCTCCATCTGTGGATCTGTAAAACTAGAAAACAAGGCATCTGCTCCCAAAATAAAATGGTGGGATAGACCTAGGGTAATAGTTATACACATTGTTTCAAAAGGGAGAAAATGAAAGAATAAGGGAAAGCCACAAGTTCCAAGAAATTTGGAAATCAAGCTTAGCAAACTACATTAGGTAGCAAGGTCTGGGAATACCAGGTTCAGGGCTCTGGCCACTGGGCTCTCAGCTCCCCATCCTGGGTTCTACTCTGTCCTCTAAGTCCTCCGTTTCTATGACAGGTAACAAAGGTTTGCAACTTAGTAATTTTTCTGAGCCAGTTTCATGTGTGCAGAATATCGGAGGTCCTAATTTCATATTCTGTCCTTTTAAGATCCAAAGTGTTTCTACCACAAAATTTTCAAGAACTTTGTGGCTCTTCTGTATATAACACAGAGATTCACTCCACTAGACAAGAGGTTAGTCCACACATTTTTCCCCCCTGGATGATCCCAATATCAATTTTTGCTTTTGCTGAGATGGCCAAGGGTTGCCTTTAAGCTTCCAAGATGGTCTCTGCTTATACTGAGGAGACCTGCTTAGTCAAATCTCTTCAAAGAAATTCTATGTGGCTGAATACTCTGCTCTTTTGATCTTGCTGAGATATTACAAGAGACTAAAAAGTCACATCCATGGCTATTTCTCCAGAACATGCTTTCCTGATCATGAATCAGTTCATTTCAATGTCTTTTGCAATTAAGACAGGGTAAGAATTCCCCAAATCATCAAATCTTGGGTCTTTTCTGTATATAATAGTTCTTCTCTATGTTTTTATCTCTTCCGTGTCACATTTTACCATGATCAATACAAAGAAGGCCACACTTTCAACACTTTGTTTAGGAATTTCCTCAGCTAAATGTCCATATAAAGACTTGTACATTAATATTTGCACCAGCTTTGTTTTTAATATTTAGAATTTGGGGGAAGAACATGTCAATTAAGATAAAGGGATAAATTGCAGTATATCCATAGAGTATTACTCATCTATTTATACACACAACATGGATGATTCACAAAATAATTGCATGAAAGACAGTGGACAATAAACTTCTAAAATTCAATTTAAATAAGGTTCTAGAAAAGGCAAATTTATCTATAATGAAGGTAAATCAATGGTTGCCTGGGGAAGGGATGGGAAGTATTAGGAAGAGCATTGAGAGGGATTAGGAAGGGGCATGAGGTAACTTTGGGGGTGGTTATATTCAATACTACAGCTGGGTGATTTCTTATACGTATATTAAGGCCTACCAAATTGCACTTTAGTATATGCAGTGTATTCCATGTTGACTACATATCAGTAAAACTATAAAAGATGATTCCACTGCAACATCTGGGTCTCCCACTTCTATTAGAAAACCAGACTATCAATATAGTGACTCTATTTTCTCTCTCCAAACATCTGGTAGAGAACCTCTTCCTCTGCAGCAAGAAAAACTGGCAAGCAGTGAAGGCTGTTTCCCAGTGAGTCACCAGAATCTCTGGCTGGTCACAAAATCTACATCCCTGGACCACAATGTATACCCCAGAGTTCTTGCCTATGCAGCAAAGACACTAGATATAGAGCCCAGAGAGGTACAGAAATCGAAATAAAATTTACATTCTTTGCTCTGTCACTGACCTTGGTCAGAGTGACAAAGCTCTGGAGATGCTAAGAATTGCCATGCATCCCAATCTCATACAGCCATAGTGACTGGTATGTTTGTGGATGTCTTTTTAAAATGGGAACATCCACTCTCATTTGCCAGTCCCCAGGCCCAATTATTCACACTGTGTCTTGGCATCAGTTTTGTTTCCTTCCTGGGTTGGTAAGTCTTGCAGCCAGAGACCTGGGTACCAGATCAGATTCTGGCCTTCAGGGCATATGGCACTTGGCAGGTCCTCAGAAACAGCTTCCCCTCAACTGTGCTGTGAAATATGGCACATATGCTGGAAATAAGACACTCAATCCATGCTGGTCTCAAACATATTGAAGGCTGTCACAACCTCCCTCAACATCACCATCAAAGTGATGTCTGGGCCCTCAAATAACTCTAAAATCCAGACATCAGGCCCACAAACCCCTGAGAAACTTTTGTCAGCAATACCAGAAGTAGACTGAGAATGTTTCCCTCTCAACTGGAAAGTTGAGGCACATGAAACCAGGAGCACCCCCCTCCCAGTTTACCTCTTCAGTTTTACATGGCCTAATTGTTTTCTAACCACTCCAAACAGTAAAAAGAATGTCCAAAAGTAACAATGGCTTAAATAACAAGGTCTTTATTATCATAGAAACCAGAGCAACAGAAGTTAGTAGTTCTCCAGGTTGGGTGACTTGAAGGCTGGAAAATCTGTTATAAGTACCACATGAGATCAACACTATGAAGAAAGTAAACTTTTTTTGTAAGCCACCAGAACACAGCTCAGATCCTCTTGGCTAAAGATGTATGTAAGGTCCACACTTTTAACCAGTCAGTGGGGAGGGAATGAGGAATCCCATTTAATTCAGGATTCTTATTATTTCCCTCTAGGAACTGGAGAGTACAAAGCTCTACCTTCCCTGAGGACATAACGGTAACTAAGCTGATAGAGCAGACATGGTTTCAGCCACAGGCATTGAGTGACAAATCTGGCAAAGACCTGAGTAGGTCTGAAAGTGCAACACAACTCATGAAACCTTCCCTGTACCTGGCATTCATAAGGTATCTCCCCAGTGTTAATGTTCAGATATGAGTTTCAACATCTGATTGATGTCTTCCTCTCAAAGGGCAATCATAGAGCTCCTCTCTGTAGGAGTCCTGTTGAGAGCACTCCTAAAGCCTTCCTGCAGTGTGAACTTTCTGGTGCCGAATGAGGTGGGAACTTAAACTATAGGCTTTCCCACATTCATTGCACTCATATGGCCTTTCTCCAGTGTGAACTTTTTGGTGCCTAACAAGGTGGGATGTTCTGATGAAATCTTTCCCACATTTGCTGCACACAAATGGCCTTTCCCCTGTGTGAACTCTCTGATGTGCAATAAAGTCAGAGCTTCGACTAAAGAATTTCCCACATTCGATGCACTCAAAAGGCCTTGCCTCAGTATGAATCCTCTGGTGTTTAATGAGGGTGTATTTGTGACCAAAGGATTTCCCACAATCACTGCAAACATAAGGATTTTCTCCAGTATGGATACTCTCATGCTGAACAAGTGTGGATTTGTGCCTGAAGACTTTCCCACAATTGTTGCACTTATAAGGCCTTGCTCCATTGTGAACTCTCTGGTGTACAATTAGGTTGGAATGATGACTAAAGTATTTTCCACATTCACTACACTTGTAAGGCATTTCTCCAGTGTGAATTCTTTTGTGCTGAGTAAGGTTGTCTTTGCGGCTAAAGGCTTTTCCACATTCTTTGCACTCATAAGGCCTTTCTCCAGTGTGGATTCTCTGGTGTTGGATAAGGGTGGCTTTACGGCTGAAGGCTTTCCCACATTCACTGCACTCATAAGGCCTTTCTCCAGTGTGGATTCTCTGGTGCTGGACAAGTGTGTCTTTGCGGTTGAAGGCCTTCCCACATTCACTGCACCTGTAATGCATCTGGCCACTGTGAGAGGCCTCCCCACTCCTGGTGCTCCTTGTCTTCTTCTTGCTGTGAGTGGCCTTTTGCTGGTGACTGCCCAAACTGACCTGGAGGGTCTGCTCCTCCTCACATTGAAAAGGTTTTTCTGACAGGTGAGGTTCTTCACAAACTCTACAGTTCTTGACAAATGAGGTCTTCCCTTTGTCTCTTCTTAAGGGTTTCTCTACATTGTACTGCTTCTGGTGCTGATGAAAGTTTGCAGTGAAGCAGAATTGTTTCCCACAGGCCCCACATGTGTAAGGTTTCAGTACTTGGCGTGTTTCCTGGTGCAAGATATCTTTCAAGACAGGGCCACATATGTCGCAAGGGTGAGCCATCTGGGTTGATGAACCTGCCTTGGAAATACTATCATGTGACACTTCTATAGAAATACTCTGTTCAGAAGGTGCCTCTTCATCCTCCACCGCACACCAACAACCTAAAGGCAGAAAAATGCTGTTGAAGTGCATGATGACTCTGGCGGGAAGGGGCAACCCCATCACCAATGTGTCTAGTATACCCAGGATTTAGTTCATGGGGCTATTAGCAGGACAGCAGATTTGGGATCAGGTTAAAGAAAAAGCTGCTGTGCAATACTGGGTCCCAAAGGGTCACAGAATGAGGAAGCCTTCACAAAGGACATACACAAGAATGAGGTGTAGCTCAGGGAGAACCAACAGGCAGGATGTCCAATTTACTCTTCAGCAAATGATTTTTAGAAGGGCTTTGGCTACTGGTGAGTGCTATGCAGAAATGTATGTCCAGGCCCAGTAAAATCTGATTTAAAATGAGCAACTGGTATCCTAGAATCATTTAAGGATATATGTATGTCATGACACATTAGCACTGTCCAATAAAGAACACTGCAGAAGGAATAGTAGAGAGCACTGGTAAAGTGGGCATGGACAGCCCTGGGTCAGAGGTCAGAACATAAAAGACAAGAACAAGGAGAAAAAGATAGAAATAAGTATGGTCTACAACCTGGGCACCAAACAGGATTCTGGTGCTAGTTGAACCCAGCCCAGAAGTCACACCCACTTCAAGCTCCCACTCACCGGGGCCTGTCCACGTCCCTCCTGCCATGGCTACAGTCATGACCTCTCAGTCAGGCACTCAGAGTTCTTTCCCCTGCTAAGTTCAGCAACCACAAAGCATCTGGAAGAAACAAGTCATAGAGGAAAGACAGGGCAAGTAGGAAAGCAGTGACCTAGAGCAGCCCATCCACAAGTGATTAAGACAACTAAATATTACAAAATGAGTATCAGAAGCATCTTGTAGGATCAGCGCACTGGGCCACATGGCAGTGACTATTATGGCAATTCATGACACAAGTAGATCCAAAGAATATGCCTATTATAAGAAAGGGGCAGAATGTGGAGCAGATGTATCATGAATGTGGGCAGAGCCATATAGTAAGGGAAAGGGCAAGCAGGGTAGTCCACTGGGCTGACCACAAGGAATAAAGGCGGCAATACACAGCTGAGCTCCAGTACCTAAGAAAACCTAGGTTAGTGAGGAAAAATAGCAGTGCCCAGGCAGCTATAGGAAGAAAATGGCAACCTTTGAGGGAAGAAAGAGTAGAGCACAGCCCAGAAAACTTGGGCATACAGGGCCTTACCCGGCAAGACCGTAAATGCAAAGCACAGAAAACACTGCATTATGACACAAATCTCTGGGCCTTATCATGCAGCCCCCATTTCTCCCAAGAGAAAGACACAAACACATCCTTGAAAGTCACATGACCCTGTATGAAGTCAACAACTTGAACACAGAGGCAGCAGTTCTCCCTGGGACTCCTGGTCTACCCACCACAATTCACCCTCCTCCCCAGCTCCCCAACTCAGATACCAGGCCCTCATGTGACTGGTGCCTACCCACTCTTTTCCCACTTTCTAGTCATCATTTTGTCCAACCCAGAACAGGCAGGGGACAGATAGACACTTCTGTCAGCTAGTTCTCCTGGGGTCTAGAGATCATGCATCTCATATACATATTTGAGCTTGGAATTCTCCCTAGAGCCCCCAGGCTATGAATTCAGATCCCATCTCTAGTACATATTGTTCTTTAGACCAGAGCTCTCTCATGTCTATGCATATCCACAACATAGGCATCTCCCACATGCAAATCTGCACACAGCACCCAAAGAATTCTTGGTTAATGCATCCAAGATCCTACCTGGCTCCAGTTGATGGTCCCCACGGCCATGTACTCTGAACCCAATTTTTAAATCCTTCCTTCCAGGCCCTATTCCTTGATTCAACTTCAGCAATCCAGAACAACATATAGGTCAGATAAACCCAGCCTCCTTCCCACTTTGCTGTTACATACTAAGGATGCTATATTCTCAATAGTCATAGGCTTAACACTAAATTCTCATGCAAAGCCCGCACCCACTGTCCTTCTACCTCAATCATAGTTACTCTGCCAGCTGACCCAATCTGCCCCTGAGGTAATCTACCGTGACTTAAACTCCCCACATCCCATTAAAGGTCACCACAAACATGTGGGAACCACACAGAGAAGGGCAAAGCACTTGCTCTGGCCTCACATTCATCTCATCTCTAATACTACTCTACACCAACATCCATCTCACGTCTATATGCTCTCTCTAGAAGACTTCCCCACCTGCCAGATCCTCCTCTCTCTCCCAACCATGCACACTAACCTCCCTTTTCCTGTCCCTTGGGTGACTCCTATCTCACTCTGCTGTGTCCACCCCCTTCTAGACCCTTAATGGCACTGCTACTATGATGTAAAGATTCTCTCTATAAATCTGATAAGCAGCTCTATTTAATCCATATAGTGGCTGCCACCTTTGAGACTTGAATCCCTCCTCTGAAATCCAAACGTCTGTGTCCAGCTATCTACCTGTACCTCCACTCAGATTCAACATGGTCAAAGCCTAATTCTTGATATTACTTCTGAAAGCTACTCCCATCACCAACTTCACCATCTCAATTGAGGGTTTTTCCATCCTTATGTTTTCTCAGGCCAAAAACTATGGGAGCTGTAGGGTCATCCTTGACTCTTCACATTCTTTCTCTCACCATCCACATCAGAAAATCTGGTTGGCCCTGCTTAAAGAAAAGAAAAAAAAAAAAATCCAGAATCCAAGCATTTGTCCCTCACCTCCAGAGCCACCAGTCCAGTCTAGCCATCATCAAAAGTGATCTTTCCTGACCCCAGTCATTTTTCACCATGCAGCCAGAGAAAGCCTGTTAAGACCAGTCAGTTCACTCCCTCCTCTGCTCCAAACATTCCATGGCTCCCAACAGAAGCCCAGCTCCACAGGCTGCCATTCTGGGGTTGAATCCTGCCTGTCTCCTGCTCTCTGATCACACCAGACATAATGGAGACCTGAGGCTCCCTAAACACTCCTAGTTCAGCCTCAAGTGATGTTTTTGCACCTGCTGGTTCTAGTGCCTAGAGCACCGTTCACACTTTTTCCCACTGCACTGGATTCAAGGCAAAAGACCATTAGTAACACTGGCACTCCCAAACTCAAAGGCAAGTAGAAGGATAAGTGAAGACTCCTGAGACACCACCATTTCCCATAGTGGGTTGCCAAGATCATGGCCAAGTGGGGCATGATGAATCAGGACCTGCATACTCTGCACTCACCTATGCAGAGATCCTAAGTGCTTCTACCATCAAAGCAACTTGGCAGAAGGAGGAAGCTGAGAGTGGCAGGTAACCAGAGTGGGGTATCATGGACTAACTATTCCCCTATCCCTTGCCCTTTGGTGAGGATAATTTCTGAATGTCTAATCTCAAATACTAAGACTCCAGTGTTGCCTTCTACCAGCTGGGTGTCCATGAACAAAGATGTGTTGCAGTGTCCTCATCTGTAAAGCAGGGATAACAGCAGTAGACACCTAACAGGGCTACAGTTTGTAGCAACACGTTAATACATGTCAAGGATCTTTGAATTCGTTTTTCCTCTCCACAAGCTTCACATTTTTCCAATTGGTTGTGAAACAAATGAAGGGACAGGTTTTTTATACTATTTATTTTTAAGCTTTAAGCTTTTAAGAAGATGTGATATTTAAGACTTTCATCATAATCAAACACTTAGAGGCAAGCAAATTATTAAGCATTAACAGAAAGTTCTATCCATACATCTACTTATGTATACCAGCCATGTGCACACTGGCCTTTCGCCAAACTAGCCTAACTGTAACATACTCCTCTGAAGGTGAGCCTGCTGGAGGCCGTTCATTAGAGATGTTCATAATCTCTCTTACTTAAGAGTTAGGGAATTGATGTGCCAGTGTCCTGGATTGGGCTGAGGCTGCTCCACTAGCCAGGCTGACTTTTCCTCTGTTCTTCAGGCAGTGCCTTTGCTGAGCCCACAGAGTGGCAAATCTATAGCACCTCACTCCTGCCTCTGTATCTCATGTCAGGTTCCTTATACCCTACAGCCCTTTCCTCCAGCTAAGACCAGCCAGAACTCTTTCACATGCTTCCTTCTGAAGGTAATGAAGAATGTCACCTCTTTTTCCCTGCCCTCCAATCTCTCACCTCAAGGACTACGTGAGATAAAGACATCCTTAATATTCTTCCTCAGAATCTGCTCTCCAGGCTTTGACTTGAGGCCTCGTCCCTCATTGGTCTCCAACACAGCTCCCTCCCTGGAAGTCCAGACCTGCATGGCCAAATGCCCTAGGGACACCTTAGCTTTACCACATCCAAAATACAACTCCTGATTCCTTCAAAGGAGCTTCCTGCTCCAACGGACCCATTCCCACCGAAGTTCAAGGGGGTGGGGGAGGGAAAACAAAACTGTGAAGGTCCCTCATTCCTTCGTTCACGTATAGCCATTATCTGACAGCGGAAAACCCTATTGGTTTTACCTTTAAAACTCCATTTCTCCACCTCCAACTTGCCCGCCATGGCTCCGATCCAAGCACCACAAAACCTCCAAAGTCTGCGGCCTCCTCGCCTCCAAGTCCACCACCCACTCGGCCGTAATGTGTACTCCCCCAAGCCAGACCACATCTGTTCTTCCATCGCTCCAAGAGTCCTCGCCATGAAGGCACAAGGCTCCCCTGCCATGCTCCCTGCAAACACTAGCACTCCGGTTTCCTGAATCCTCCCGGCTCAGTGGCGCCTCCAAGCCTGTGCTCGTGCTAGTCGAACGGCCAGGAACAAACACTTCGACGGCTCATCCCACCGGCTGTTAGAAATGGGGGCTCCCCCTGTAAACGCCCCCGTGGCCCAGGACATCGGAGACTGGGCTGCAACGACTTCAACTGGTGCCCCTCTTTCAGGGCTTCGTGATTCGGAACCCCAAAACGCGTCAAGGTCCGGCGAACAGAGTACCCACCTACGCGGGATCCATCACCGCGGTCGCCGCCATCACAATCTGGACCACACGGAGCTGTGAAGAGTCCCAGTTCGGGACCCGAGCATTGCCGTGGCTAGGCCCTGGCCGCGGAGCCTTCGCGGGTGCTGCCACCGCCAAGCCTCTCCCCGGTAGACACAGGGTCTCCTCCCGCGCCTTCCAGCGTGTATCACTCCGAACCCAACCAGCGCTCCAGAAGCTCTACTCCGAAAGCTACACCAGGAACGGACAAAATGTCCGCCGCGAGGAAGACACCGGAAGTCCCGCCCAGCGTTTTCCGCTCACTTTTAATGATGCCGCCACCGCGCGGCGCAGGGATTTCTAGGTAATGTAGTTTCCCTGACCAATCGGCCCTAGTGATTCTTGGACTTGCTCCCTGCGGGTGCTAAGGCTGCGGCGTCCACCGTAGAGCTCTGGGAAACTGTGCCTCGAGGGTCAGAGCACTGGGCGAGGCTTCAGTCCTCTTAAAGAGCTCACGCCTAGATTCCGTGCTTGTGTAGTCTGCGGGAGGGCGCAAGAATGGTAACTTTCTTGTAGGTATTCCCCAAAGCCAAAAAACCACATGGACATATCTTGTCAAACTACTTTGAGTCCACTCACAGTCCACGTATATTTCCTTGCTAGTTTTTATTTTTTTGTTTAAATATTTAAAAGATTTTGTTCATTCATTAAAGACATAGAAAAAAAGAAAAAAGAGAGAGAGAGAGAGAGAGAGAGAGAGAGAGAAGATAAAGGCAGAGGGAGAAGCAGGCTACATGGAGGAAACCTGATATGGGACTTGATCCTGGTACTCCGGGATCATGCCCTGAGCTAAAGCAGACACTCAACCCCTGAGCCATGCAGGCGTCCCAATCTATATGGATTTAAAAACCAGCATGCAGCACCCTGTAATTGAAATGATCCTTCTTAGCCCAAAGCTAAGATATATTGATTTCCCTCTAGGAATATGCCGACTATCTGAAAAGGGTCATTATAAATGCTTTCTAAAGTGCCAGGACTGGTGGCAGTAAATGTGCAAAGGTGACTATCCAAACCCAGAAATAAAGATTTGGAGCATCAAGATCTCATTTCTTTGCTAGGAAGTGCTTTTCACTTCATTTGCAATTAGAGGGACAGTGTCTGAATTGGGAGTTGAGATTATTTTTGGTAAATGATGAAGCACAGGAGGAGGATGGGGGGGAGTGAAGGAAGGAAGGAAGGAAAGAGTGAGATACCAGGGGCTTAGCATAAGAAACACCATCTTGTATATAGCTGCTATTTTTGTAATCTTATGTCTGTTTAAACTGCAAAATGTCCCAATACCCAGGGTTTCAGGAAGTATACCATAGACATTTGCTTCACCCAGCTTTTTGGCTTCTGTACAATGACTAGCAAGCTACTAGGACTCAACAGAAACTGTCAACAGGATAGGTTTATGCCTTTATTAACCTATCCCTGAATTTACTCGGGCTTCGAGATTTTGGAGTGCATGAACCACCTTGCAGCCGCTGGCTTTCAATAAAGACTCCTTAATTTGGCCTTCTGACTATGGCGTCCATCTATATAAGTTGCTGCTCTAGCTATAACATTTGGAGGCCCCAGCGAGATCCCCAAGTGATCTCTGTCGCTCGGTTCTGACGCCTATTGGGCTGAGGGCCTCTCTGCCAGTGCTGCTGGGATTGCGAGAAATCTCTAGGGGAGGCGTCCCCTGAGATGTTCAGGGCCCCGGAGGCTTCTCTTCCAGGCTGTGACAGCCTGACGAGAGAAACGACGACGTCCCACCCCCAAAATACCCACAGAGTCATCTGTAAATTCCTGAGGTCAGTGTCACCTGTTTACCTGGAGACTGGTCCATGTGGGTGGAAGCTGGAGGACCAGACCTAGTCTGAACTCCCCTCCACAGGCTCCCCCTAAGATGTTAGGAAGGGGCTTCTGGTTAAGGGACCCAGAGGGGGTCCCTCCTGTTCTGTACTTAAGAGACCCAGGGGGGGGTCACTCCCGGTTTCTGCTTGGGGGTCCCAGCAGGGATCCCTCCTGGTTTCTGTTTGGGGGACCCAGGGAGGGTCCCTCCTCGTTTCTGGTTAAGGGACCCAGTGGGGGTCCCTCCTAGTTTTACACTTTTTGGCCAATTCCTCTACTCTCTTCTGTCAGCTGACATCTTTACACACACACACACACACACACACACACACACACACACACACACGAACAACCTCAAAAAAAACATCGGGCACCTGTCAGCCATTTAAAAGTGAGTAGCACGGCTGCCAGTCTTAAGACTCAGGTGACAGGTTTCTGGTCAAGGGTTCAATCTCCCTTCCCACCAGAAGGGAGATTCCTGCCCTCTTACAACCCTCAAACAACCAGGGATAGGCCAAGAGGGGGAAGAGAAAAATGACAGGAGTGAGTCTGTGATCTCAGGCCTACACACCCAAAGTCACACTCAGGAAGAAAATAAACAAGAAAACCATAGAGGGGAAGCTCTCTTTCCCCTCAGGGAAGCTCCCCCTGACAACTGACATCGTATTTGTCCCATTCTCCATGAGCAACCTTTACAATTGAAAAGCCCCAAATCCCCCTTTCTCAGAAAAACCACAGACTCTGATTAGCCTCTTAGAATCAGTTTTTCCCACACAGCAGCCCACCTGAGATGACTGTTAACAGCTCCTAGTCACTCTTTTCACATCTGAAAAAAGGAAAAGAAGCCAGCTGAAATCCAAAAAGTAGACACTGGTGCAGCTCTTTCAGTCTTGACAGAGCCAATGGGACCTTTGACCTCTCATAAAACCTCCATTCAAGGGGCCACCAGATAATCTGTCTCATGCCCATGGACCACTCTATGGACTGTGGATTTAGGAAAAAAACACAGTCACTTACTCATTCGTAGTTATTCCAGGATGCCGTAGCCCCTGCTCAGGTGCGACTTCCTCCAAAAGCTTTAAGCTACTATTTCATTAGAAAAGACAAAGGCCATCCTGATGATCAATCAGGCAAGGACTAGAACCCACAGAACAAACTCCTCAACCCCCAACGCAGATCCTCCTCACCTGTCCACTATCAGAAGAGTATATGCTACAAGAAAGGGTGAGTACCGGCCTTCCAGAGCCTTCCAAATATCTTTTTTAAAAATATTTATTTATTTATTTATTTATTTATTTATTTATTTATTTATGATAGTCACACACAGAAAGAGAGAGAGAGAGAGAGGCAGAGACATAAGCAGGCTCCATGCACCGGGAGCCCGATGTGGGATTCGATCCTGGGTCTCCAGGATCGCGTCCTGGGCCAAAGGCAGGCGCCAAACCGCTGCGCCACCCAGGGATCCCCCTTCCAAATATCTTTCCAAACTCCGAGAAAAGTTTCCCTGGGTATGGGCAGAAGACAACCCTCCGGGACTGGCCAGTCATCAGACCCCAGTAATAGTGCAGCTATTAGCTACTGCCACTCCTGTCCAGATAAAACAATACCCCATAAGTTTGAATGCAAGAAAAGGCATCACTATACATATCTCCGGACTGAGACAAGCAGGAATTCTAGTCCTTTGCTAGTTGTCTTGGAATACCCCTCTATTTCCTGTCCAGAAACCAGGAACTAATGACTATCAGCCAGTACAAGACCTCAGAGAAATAAACAAATGGTAGAGACTACATACCCCACAGTCCCTAACCCTTATACTTTATTAAGCCTCCTAACTCCAGAGTGCAAATTCTATACAGTTCTGGACTTAAAGGATGCTTTTTTTTAGCATTCCCTCGGCACCCATCAGTCAGCCTATCTTTGCCTTTGAATGGACAGATACAGAAGGAGGCTTCTCTGGACAATTGACTTGGACTAGGTTACCACAGGGATTCAAAAATTCTCCCACCCTATTCGACAAGGCTCTAAGTTCAGACCTCCACATGTTCCAACGAGGACATCCTAAATGCACCCTACTCCAGTATGTGGATGACCTCCTATTGGCCTCTAATGATAAGGCTAAATGTCAAAAAGCTACTGAGGATCTCTTAGAAACCTTACAGACTCTGGGCTACATGTCTCAGCCGAAAAGGCACAACTATGCTCCCTCTCAGTTACATACCTGGGATACAATATCAGCAATGGTGAACGGACCCGTTCTCTTAGTAGAATCAAAGCCATTCTATAAATTCCCACACCTAAAACTAAGCAGCAGGTACGAGAATTCCTGGGGGTGGTTGGATATTGCTGCCTATGGATTCCAGGGTTTGCTGAGATTGCTAAGCCCCTATATTCCAGCAAAGTGGGGCAGGGGGGACCCAGCCACTGGAATGGACTGAAACTCATGAATAGGCCTTTGAACAGTTAAAAAGGGCTCTGACCTCAGCCCCTGCACTGGCCTTACTGGATGTCACAAAGCCTTTCCATCTCTATATACATGAAAGGCGGGGAATAGTGAAAGAGGTCCTAATCCAAACACTGGGGCCCTGGAAGAGACCCGTGGCCTATCTGTCCAAAAGACTGGATCCAGCTGCAGCCAGATGGCCAGCATGCCTCCAAGTGGTGGCTGCAGCTGCCCTGTTGATCAAAGAAGTGGAAAAACTGACATTGGGGCAAGAACTCTTATTAACAGCACCCCATGGGTCAAAACCTTACTCCGAGGGGCCCAGAGCATTGGATGTCAAATGCTTAGGTTACTCAGTTTCAGGCCCTTCTGTTAGATCAGCCTCACATTAAGTTTCAAAAAACTCTGGCTATAGGGGATCCCTGGGTGGCTCAGCAGTTTGGTGCCTGCCTTTGGCCCAGGGCGCGATCCTGGAGTCCCGGGATCGTCGCCCACATCGGGCTCCTGGCATGGAGCCTGCTTCTCCCTCCTCCTGCATCTCTGCCTCTCTCTCTCTCTCTCTCTGTATCTATAATAAATAAATAAATAAATAAATCTTAAAAAAAAAAAACTCTGGCTATAAACCCTGCAAGCTTGCTTCCAGATGATGACCCGGAAGAACTGATACACAACTGCCTGAAAACGATTGATATAGTAC